GCTTCCCAAGTGCTGGGATTAAAGGCATGCGCCACCAACGCCCGGCTTTATCTGAGTCTGGGATCTTAACATCACCCTCGGACCCAGCCTTGAGTGGCAGGATGAAGCGTCTAGTCTTGAGGTGGTCCTCAATTCCTGCCTTCCCTCCTTCACTAATCTGTGCTGAGTAAGGAGAGGAGGGTTCCGAGGAGGGTCCTGCTTGTGATTCATATTGTAGGGGAGACAGACTCACATGTTTTCACAGGGCAAGTGACCCCCATGCTACATGTGGTGACAGCATGTCATTCTAGTGACATTTCAGTGATTGAGTTCTCTATGCCAGTATAGTCTAGTGCTGCTAGCAGTATTAGCACCACCCGGGAAGTCTTTAGAAATGCAAATTCCATGGCTGTCCAGACCTACAAAAGAGAAGATCCTGGGGCAAGCATTAGAGAAGTCACTGTGACTCTAATGCAAACCTCCTGCCCATGAGGCTAGGGGCCCCAGAAACATACCACACACACACACATGCAGCATGTTGGGGGACAACAGCATGTTGGCCCTCAAGGTTACAGATATCACAGCTTAACATGAGCATTAAGAAATTGTTTCATAGGCTGGGCAGTGGTGGCACACACCTTTAGTCCCAGCACTTGGGAGACAGAGGCAGGTGGATCTCTCTGAATTCAAGGCCAGCTTGGTCTACAGAGTGAGTTCCAGGACAGGTTCCAAAGCTACAGAGAGCCCTGTCTTGAGGAAAAAAAAAAAAAAGATTTCATAGGCACCCATGTCTCTCTAGGTGGTTTTCCTCCTCTGTGCCTATGTCACTGTGTACATGATCTATTGGAAGTTCCGGAAAACGTTTGACATTGAGAATGACACATTCCGGCTGGAGTTCCTCTTGGTCCCAGTGATTGGCCTTTCCTTTCTGGTGAACTATAGTTACACACCAACGGAGGTGAGTCTGATCCTAAGGCAAGGGTGCCTCTCAGCACCCTCTTCAGCCATCTGGGCCTGCCAACTACAAATCCATTTCTTATCATTGACAGTGTTCGCCTCCATCCCCCAGTAAGGGACACATCTGTTCAGTCATGAGGTTCCAAGTTGAACAGGTGGTAACCCTACTTCTGTTGGGACCTTGTGTCCCCAAGATCTGTCCAGGCTGACTATAACTTAGCAGACCTAAGCTTCAAGAGAAAAACATCTTTGGAGGTCCTATGATGGTATTTATGGGCTGTACCCTACCACACTGTGGATTAAAATTATGTCATTTATAAACTGTGCTGTCTGTAAAAACTATGTTTTGTGGACATGTTTGCACAGTTACAAAACAAGCAGGCATTACATACCTGAATTTGTATTTCCATAGGAAACAATAGAAAGATAACACTGCTGAAGTTCAGGCCTAAGGATGCTATGAGTAGTGCTTGTCCAGCATGCATCTAGCCTTGGCTTCTATCCCCAACACTAAATAGCCACAAATAACTTCTTAAATCTGGTGTGGTGAAGCATGTCTGCTGCCCCAGCCCTTCCTTGGTAGGTGAGGCCATTAGCTGAAAGCCTACTTGGGTTACACTGTTACACTGGGACTCTTGACAAGGATTGGTGACCAACTGTTCTCTCCAGCAAACGTTCATTATACATGGGTCCCTCTAAGCAATGGACCCTCCCACCCTTCTGCTTTTCTGATAGGTACTCTGGACCTTCTCCATCTATTTGGAGTCAGTGGCCATCCTGCCACAGCTCTTCATGATCAGCAAGACTGGCGAGGCTGAGACCATCACCACTCACTACTTGTTCTTCCTGGGGCTGTATCGGGCACTCTATCTAGCCAACTGGATCTGGCGGTACCAGACAGAGAATTTCTATGATCAGATCTCAGTGGTGTCTGGAGTAGTACAAACCATCTTTTATTGTGACTTCTTCTACTTGTATGTGACCAAAGGTAGGCACTGGTCCTAAGTCACTGTGTACTCTATGGTACTCCAGCTGGCCTGAGGAGGCAGAGCCAAGGTAATTGTGAAGATTTCAAGAGATGTCTGGCTCTCCAAAGGGAATACTCTGCCTCAGAGACATTCTTTGGGATTCCAGGGAGCTCATCACTAGCAGTGGTAGGGGAGGTGCTGTCACCTGTGAAACATTTGTATGACTCTGAGTCTGTGATCTTAACATCACCAAAAGTAGGAACTGGTCCTAAGTCATTATGCACTCTGGTATTCCAGCTGAAGTAGAGCCAAGGTTCATCTGTTCTGAAGCTTATTTGGATGGGGAGGCACAGACCAATGGGAATCATACTTGTTTATAGATGAGATAACCGGGAAGAGGACTTTTGCCAAACCTGGCTGGGAAAATCTTCTCATGAATAAGCTCCAAAACAAGCCTTGAAACTCAGACCAAGTTCACACAGGGCCTCAAGGGGTTTACTACATCACCAAGAGCATTTCAGCCATGCAGGGAGTAGTCAGGGCGGCTTACTGAGGCTCAGTGTGAAGAGATTAAGAGTCTATGAGAATGAAGCAGATGACCTAGCGCCAACTGCTAAATCTACAGTTCTCTAAGGAAGGAGCATTAGTAACCAAGATGGGGGCGAAGGGGCGTAGAGTCCATGGCTAACCTAAAGTGGGGACTTTCGGGTAAGCTAACAATGTTGAAGGGACAGTGTGGTACATTGTGTCCCAGCCAAGGTTAATTAAACTCTCAAAAAAGGGGAAGGGGCATAAAAACAACCCTTTTCTGAGTATAGCACATTCTGTAACTTCATCTTCCTTTTCTTCTAGTCCTTAAAGGAAAGAAGTTAAGCCTACCAATGCCAGTCTAAAGAGAAGGACCACACTATAAGGCAGCCAGAGCAAACCATTCCTCCTTGGTGACTGAATGTTGAGTGATTGGTGTGAATTTGAGCAAAGCACTGGCAGAACTTCCTGTCTCACCATCAACAGTTGGACTTCCTTACACACCATCATGGATGCAATGGAATACCTGGTCCAGCTGCCCAAGTGTGGTGCCTTAGAATGGCAAGTAAAAATAAGGAGCAGTAAGATACCTCCACCAACGACCAACCATTGCTCCTTTAGTGGAAGAAGGCTCATGCCAAGGAATGGGCCAGATCCATTTGCAAAGACCCTTCCTAGGTCAGAGTGGAACTGAAGACTCCAGGAGTATGTTGTCAGTCACACTGCATCTAAGGCGCAAGCAATCCCAATCCAAGTCACCAGCTCTGTCAAATGCTTAGGACTCACCTCAGTTCCCAGGCCATCTAACTGTTGACTCAGATTCTTGTGCCAAGAACCTTCATTAGTCTACCCTCCCCTCCCAGTTTGAGGTGCTAAGCTGGGTGATTAGTCACTCAACCTCCCAATATTTGTTGGAGCAAAATGTTAATGTAATAAAAAATTCACACCTTTATTGTCAATTTTTTATTTATACCTACAAAAGAAAACAAGATGGTATCAAAAGGGCAATTTACAAACTAAGAATAGTAGTAACATAGCTCTTAGCATCCTGTGCCTTAACATCACACCTACAATTCAAGTCTCAATGACAGGAATGTGTTGAGAGACCAGCAAAGGCATTAGCAGAGCACTGATCCCAAGCAAAAGCCACCAACCTTTTAGATGAGAAGTCACACAATGAATTGTGTGACTGCACAACCACATAAGCAGTCCACAGCTTAATACTGAAGCCCTTTCCCTAAGTAGGTTGACCCAGCTCCAAGGGTTTGCCCATGCCTGTTCTGAGAACACAAAGGACAGATGAGGAAGCAGAACTCATTGAACTAAAAAGGAAAACTGCTAGTTTTCTGCTGTACCCGGACCAAAGGAGCTCATGAAATGGGAAATCAGCTGTTAATTCTATCTGGATTATGCTTCTGGTAGACAGGGGAGGCAAGCAACCTAGCTACTGCTTCATCCCCAAAGGCGTTTACAGAAGGGGTGTTTTCAAGAGCTGCAGTAGCACAGGATAGCCTGTGGTATGATGCTTAATAAATAAATAAATCTGAATTTGGTTGTAGAAAGAAGTATCTGTAACAGGCTGGTCAGTGTCCATGATTAGACACTTCCTTTTGGCAGGTGAGACGGACAGACAGGACACACACTTTGGTTTCAAAGCACAGAGCAGGGTTGCCACACTTCTGTGCCCACCACTCTCCCTTAGCTTCGTATTCTGTAAAACAGTAAGGAAAACAAAAGGATGCCAAGCATTCACATGCGTGTATCCAGCATATGCTGACAACCTACCTGTTATGTCGCACACTGAATCCTACTTTCAGAGCCCTCAAAACCATCCCTTTTCTCTTCCTGGAGGAACCCTCAAGTGTATCGTTCCTTAGACTTGCACTCCGAGGACACAGCCAAGGAATGCAGTGGAGCCTCCTCTCTTTAACTGTACTGTAAATGAATAACAGCAAAACAAAAGGCTCCACCATTGTGATCTATCACAGGTGTTGGGGCCATCTATTGTCCTATCCTGTTAGGGTGACATAAGTCTTTCTGGATGTACCTGCTGCTCTTGGCAGTGTCACCTACTTGACACTGAAGAGAGTTGAGGTGGACCTGGGCTCTAGTCCTCCAGAGTGCTTCCTAAGCACTACCTACCTGTGAAAAGCTGAGTGCAAAGGGACACCGAGGAGACCAGCTCTTCACCAGTCCTGCTCAGGAGAGCCTGGCTAAGAGGGCAAAGCAGTCTACGGGTCACTCTTACTCTAGCACTAAAAATACTGAGTTTAAGAGGAAGAGCTGCCCATTTGGAGTCCATCATTTCTAAAGGTGCTTCCTACACAGCAGACTAAGCTGCTCAGAAGTTCCTGCTAAACACTGACGCTTATGCTCACAATAGCTATCTGGCTAAAAAATTGACTTTCAGATGGTCCCTGGTTATACGGGGGGACAAAAAACCAGGCAGCCTCTACTTGGATGCCAGTCTACCTAGCAAAAACAATGCCTTGTAGTTTTTTAAACTTAAAAAGATATGCTTGAACTCAGAAATTTAATTTCTAACTCAACACTAACCTGGTTAATATATATAATTGAAGGAGAAAGAGGGGCAAAGCCAATTGGCAATTTTTAAACTGTCCAATACATGTAATAAGCCACCAGTCAAAATGACTGACAGTCTTAAAATTCATCAGGCCTGAGTAATCTAACTTCACTAACCTAACACCATGGACAACACACATGAAGTCCCTCCTGGCTTCTCCCACTACGGAGAACAGTCTGAAGTACAGACTTCTGCCGCCCTCTTCTTCTGCAGAACAGCCTCTCCTTCCCTTCCCTACCCTCCCTCCCAACAGTAAACAGGCTCCAACAAAAGCGCCTAATACCTTTAAGATGAAAAATAGCTCAATATCCTCAACCAGTGAATTTTAACTAATCTGCATTAAAAAAAAAAAAAAACCACAATGGTTGGGAAAAGAAAAAGTAAAAATGAAAAGGGCTAGAAGGGTAAAATAATAGCCGGGCTTCCTTTAGATGTAATTAATCTGCATGAATCACTCCCACCAAGCAGCTTCATTTACGAGAAGGAGGAGGAGGAGGAGGGGGGGGAGGATATTGGTAAGCAGTCTGCCCCATGTAGCCTATCATATTGGTAGCTCCTGGAGGCTGTGCAAACTGCTGTGACATCAGTGGCTGTGGCTGCTGCCCAGAACGGCCTATCCCACTAAACTGCTGGCTAGAGCTCTGGGAGCTCCTCCCAGTTGAGGTGGTGCTGCTAGCCCCGTAAGTGCCAGCAGCATACTCTTGGGCCGTGTAGCCACTGGTGCCATAAGCAGCTGCCCCATAGGTGCCTTGAGCATAGGTGTATTGGCCTGCTTGTGCCCCGAAGGCAGAATTCGGGCTTCCATAGCCACTGCCATTAGCATAACTGGCTCTATCGGTTTCACTACGATCCCGGTAGCTTGTAGAATCTCTCCGGCCACCATCCTTGACCCCTCGTAGCCTCCGGTCACACTCATCCTGATACATCAGATTGGGATTGTTGGCTGAAGAAGTAGTCCGGTACCGAGAGCGACCTCCTGATGGGAAGATAAAGGTATCTTTAATCCCAGTATGAGATCCAAACAAACTGAACCTAAGGGGGAACAGTAATACTCAATACATCTTCATGGTCAGCAATGCTAGTCTCTAAGTAAATATTTCACTCAACTTGGTGCCTTTTAGACTCTTCTTGGGGGTAAGAAAAACAATCTTTTCGTCTTTTGGTTTTTTTGTGACAGGATTTCTCTGCGTAGCTCTGGTTGTCCTCTCGTACTCAGAGATCTGCCTGCCTCTGCCTCCAGAGTGCTGGGATTAAAGGTGTGCACTGCCACTACCACCAAGCCTCAAAAACAATCTTAACACACGAGGCTAGGGAGCCAGGGGCCCAGAGCTGAGCACACTTCACAACTATCCATCAGCTGTATGCCTCAGCTTTGTTACTATGTTATGAAATGATGTAAAATGACACCAAATTCCCCACATGCAAAATTGAAAATCTACTCTAAAGAAGCAGTTTAAAGACATCAAGAAGCAACCATAGCTTAGCTCTCTAAGTATTACTAAGAGACAAGAGGTGTGTGTGTGTGTGTGTGTGTGTGTGTGTGTGTGTGTGTGACACACAAGCACATGCGCCTGCAGATTCACAGAGGCAGGCGTATCTCTGTGGGTTCAAGGCCACCCTGGTCTACAAAGAGTTATAGGACAGTCAGTGCTATTGTCACAGAGAAACCCCCCCGTCTTGAAAAACCGAGCCCCCTCCCCCTTCCCCTCCAAAGAAATTTACAGGAATGTACCAGTATAATTGCTAGTGGGCCTTAGATTCTCACACACCAGGCTACAACAGTAACAATAGCAGCACAATGACAAAACTTGCTTTCTGACTTACACTGAGGTCACGAAAACTACTAAGCACTCTGAGTTCCAAGCAAGAGCCTTCATAGATCAAAACAAAAAAACCAAAAAGGCACAATTAGTATTAAGAGTCCTTGGTAGTCCCTGGAAAATTCCAGGACTTACCCTTACCCCCTCCGCCGCCACCACCTCTGTGGTCCACCAGCTGCATCAATTTTGGATTGATGGCCTGATTGGCCTCTTCCAACACTTTGATCAGCTCTCTAGCCTGCTTTAGGTTCCCTGGGGTAAAGAAGGTATAGGCAGTGCCCTTGTTGGTGCTCCGGGCCGTGCGGCCGATTCGGTGAACATAGTCCTCGGAGCTGTTTGGATAGTCATAGTTGATCACAAACTTGACATCTTCCACATCTTCCAAGTCATGACGAGTCATTGTGTAGGTTGGTGTGGCAGAGAGAGAGAAGATAAAGGACATGCCAAGAGGTGGAAAGCACGAATGCAGATGACAGCAAGAGGAGAGAAGATGAAGTTAGTAACCACTCTGAGCAGGTACAAAAAAGACTCATCCCAACAGAGTAAAAGAGGATCAGTGACTCTCAGGACACAAACAGGCACTGCAACTCGATTTGCTATAATCCCACTGGAGTCCCATTTAATACCCCCAAACTCCTGCCTCTTCTGTGACAGTATGCTGACAGGAGCTACACTATGACCAGAGTTCAGACTGACACATTCTAGTGCCACCCCCTTTCAAAGCTGGGATGTATTAGAAATCAGTAACCACCATTAAAGTGCAGGGCCAAATCACTTCTACTCTGTTGGGAGAAGCCTGGTACAGTCTACCAACAACACAATCAACTTACCTTCAGACCAGTCACAGAGCAACATGGAAAGGCACTTCATCTACTCACTACATTCTCAGACTCAACAGTTAGGTTTTTTTCTTGCTCTTGTATTTAAAAAGCAAACCAAAGCCAAAGTACACGCCTATTTTGCGTTGCTTGAACACCCACAGTATCTTTCCCTTTTCAATCACCACAAGAATACATTACACTAAAATTTCACTGTACTACCAAGCCCAGCTTCTCAAGTGAGGTTTTGTTTCTACTCAACTCAAGGTTATTGCAAACTTAGTACTTGTATTAATGATCAGATTGTCTATGTGACCTGGAGATTCACTAGCCAAAGAATGTGGGGCAAACCAGGAAACCTTGAGACACACATTTGATATTCTTCTGTACATGGCTAGGAATTGGGCTGGGTAACCCTAAACTTAAATTATGTAAATGTTAGTGTAATGCTTTCAGCTAAATGTAGTTTTTAACCTACTTAACAAACAAATCTAATAACAGAATCCTCATTTTTTGTGGAAAAAATCTGCATTTTACAAAGAATATTCCGAAAATATCCTAGATAAAACACAGATTTCTGTGATAGAAATAATTAAAAAACATTCTCTGTTTGTTACCAGACCGATGCACACTCCCTCCTCCTTTGGGAAACCGCTGCAGCCGATCCCGTCTCTTTGTCTTTTATATTTGGCGGCCTCCTTTCGAAAACTCCGCCTTCTGACACGGGACCACTGGAGCGCGGGGAGCATGCATCAAGGGTCCGTGGCAGTGAGAAGTCCCCACACACGCTCGCTCTGTGAACTGGCTTAGATGCTTCTCTGTAGCCCCATTTGGTTGCCAAGCGCCGGAGAACCTGGGTTCAGGTAAAAATTTCAGGTCCTCCAACGCCTCCCCCAAGGTAATTGGGGTGATTGTATAAAAATTAAGAAAAAAGTTACATCCAAAGGGTCAGACTGCATCTATTGCCCAGACTGGATTAATTTCAGGGAAAAGGGGAGATGATTAAAAAACAAAAATTCAGCTGGTTAGGGGCAGGTGAAGTAGGGGCATTATGTCTGTTTCTTATTACAATAAAGGCTCCTCAGTCTTTACTGACCCCTAAAGTCCTGAATCACACCAGAAAGACGAGAAGGCACTTATCACAGGGGGCAGCTTGAGTCTCCGGCTTGGGTCGTTGATGCCACAAAGAAAAAATATTATAGGGCAAGGATGGAAGGGTGGGGTGGGGTGGGGTGATAACTCCATAAGCACATCTTCAGAGCTTGGATAATGCTCCTTAGTCACTCGCACTGAGTGACCACAGCAACAGAGCACACTGAATTACTGCACTGGATGCACAGGAGTGTGCTTTCCAAGCAGCAAGCACTGGGGCTCCAGATGCTAATAGCTGGGAGTACTTCTGGAGGGGCTCAATTAAGGGCGGACACGATGCAAGTTCTTCATACTAGAAAGGTGTCCTGTGTGCACACAGCTGACTGAGGCCACCTAAGAGCAAGCACAGAATCTGGTTTTCTCCAGTCCAGGCTGCCCTGAGGTTACTGGTGCACTGCCACAATATTATCTTGCTGTCTTTATAGACGATGCTGTAGCAGGGTAAGAAATGGAAAGTTACATGTTTTGGCCAGTGGCCTGGGAGAACCCGTGGTTTGGGAAGCCCTATGCCATGGCCTGAAACTCCAATCACTAATTGGGAGATCTAAGACTAGCCAGCAGGCTCATCTAGAGTGGCTTCGGGGCCAATGTAGATTTGCCTCAGCCATGTACTGAGTGATCTGCAGCTGATATCAAAGCTTCTGCTAAAAAACAAAACAAAATCAATTCAATACTTTTAGTTCAACAATCTTTAAACAAAAAAGAAAAAGAAAAAAAGAAAAAAAAGCGAAATAAAAAATATCCCAGTGGAAAGGGAACAGTGGTCGCCTGAAGGTGACTATCATGAAACTATGGGAGGCAAAGAACTTACCTGAAGGGATCATTTAAGAGACCATCGCTCCACAGAAGTGAAAAAAGGCCTGGTGACTCAGCTGAAAATAGCACCCCTGTCTATGAGGTAGAAGCCTTCACTTTCCAGGATCTTGTAGGACCTTGGTCAGAATTCTGCCATTGTGGTGGGTTTTCTCCCTCCTTTTGATTTTTACAAGGCAGCAAACAAAGGGGCCCAAAACAAGCACTGATGTTGAGTAACAAGAAACAGACTCAGGCACCTTCCCTCTCCCCTCACTTGAATGAGGGAGGGTGGGATGAAGAGTCTTAAGTTATTCTAATGGCAGCCAATTGATTTTGTTAAAATATGCACGGGGACATAGAACAAAGATTTTTAATTGTCTAGGCAAGATGCACAAAGAAGCTACCAGCACATAGCAAGCCTGTTTTAAAAACCACCATTACTGAAAGCTTTATGCAAATTGCTTTCAGGCTTCTGCCTCCTTTCCCAACAGGCCCAAGTTCTAATGGCAGGGACCCAGACATGACCTCAAAGGGAAGAGACAACTTCCCGCCATGGCTGCAGGTCACTACCTCTGGGAGTTAAAGGGATTAAAAAGCTCCATCACTGCTACATTCAACACTTATCATCATCTCCATGTTAAATTGCACAGGGAAACTTGGTACTTCTCACCTTCCTCAACAGGAAATTAACACATCAATAATGGATTCCTCAATAGAAACGACCCCCATCTCTCTGAAACAAGATCTTGTTATATATATATAACCTAGGTTGGCCTCAAACTATTGATTCTTCTGCCCAAGTCTCTCAAGTGCTGGAATTTGCAAGCATAAACACCCATGGCCAGCTGTAAGAATCTTTTGTGGAGATAGTCTCACAACACAGCCCTAGCTGGTTTCCAGCTCACTGTACACCACGCTGGCCTCAATCTAAAGAAACCTCCTGCCTCTGATTCCCAAGTACTGGGACCAAAGGCATGCATTACCACAACCACCTCGAGTAATCTTATAAATGTTAACATTTTGGGCCAGACTTGTTCAGTTCAAAACAACAGGCCAAAATATCACAGGTTATTTTTATGTATCTTAAATCAAAAGAGTTGAAATTCCAGAAGGACACTTTCAGATTAACATCTTAACCTGGACAATACATTGATGGCCAAATGATGGATAAGGAGAGGGGAAAATTGCCCATCATTCTACTGAAGTAACACCAGGCAATGCAGATTTAATAGAATGACATTATAGTACACACCAATCAAACCCTTTTAAGCAAATGTTCATGGAAGTGGCCTCTATGTTTGTATCTATACTAGATAGACTGGTATAAGGGAAAACTTACAAGAAACCAGCTTTTGCTAGCTAGGTTTAACTAGGCTCCTTCTATCCAGCCAGAAAACTGAACAAAACCAAAAAGAAATTAAGCTGTAAAATGAATGTATCCCCTCCCTGTAACTTAATAGTCATGTCTAGGCCTTGCTGCAGACCAAAGCCTGTTCTTTAGGAGCCAGATGAGACTCTGAAAATAAAAAGGGGGTGGGTGCGTGGGATGACCTCAGAAAACCCAAAATAATAAAACAATTAAAAAACTCACAAAGGTTAAAAAAAATTGCAGGGAAGGGGATCACACTTATACTCTCTTTTGACTAAACCCATGTACATACAACTCTAAATTTGACATGACAAAAAAATTTGAAAACCAAAAGATACACAAACCACCAACAGAGACACCTATCTATACAAACCTAGCCCTCGGGAGGCTACATCTGTGGCAATGAGGATAGGAGCCTTTCCAGATCGGAACTCTGAAGGGAAAAAAAAAGATGCCAAGTTAGGGAACAGAGGCTATAAAGAACATTGTAAAAGATATGGACTGAAGAAAAATCATTTTCCCACCTACCCAAGATTCATGCCTTTCATAATGTTAGCTCTGTACAGCTCATACTACACCTATTTAATTAAGGAGAAAAAGTATTTTAAGTATTTTTTAAAACGGTGTCTGTGCATGCTGAGTGTAAATGCTCAGAGGCACTGAATCCCCTTGTAGATAGAATTATAGTGGTTGTGAGCCACTCATGGGTGATGTGTCCTCCGAAAGAACAGTATGTATTCTTAATGCTAGGCCATCTCTTCAGCCCCTTTTACTTGAAAATACTTATTTTTATTTATATAACTATGAACTTTAAAGAACTCTGGAGATGTACTGAAAATGCCCAGGGTTCAATTAACTAAAATTAGGCTAGGTGAACTTTGATCTACAAATAAAATCTAGTATAATACTTTTGCAAACAAAACTGCTTGGGGAACACAGCCAGGCCAGTTCTGTCTATGACCACTTGTTTTTGTGTAGAAATCACCCAACCCATTATTTGATGAACAAAGCCCCAGATAATCTATTATCTGGTTCTTTATAAACAGGGGGTGGGCTGGGCAGTGGTGGCACATGCCTTTAATCCCAGCAGTTGGGAGGCAAAGGCAGGCAGATATCTGTGAGTTTAGACCAGCCTGGTCTACAGAGCCAGTGCCAAAATAGGGTTCAAAGCTACACAGAGAAACCCTGCTACACACACACACACACACACACACACACACACACACACACACACACACACACAGAGGGAGGACAAATAGGTGTCAAAAAACTATTGTGCTAGGCACAGAAGAATACATTTTTAATCCTAGCAACATCTAGGAGGCAGAGACAGATGGATTTCTGTGAGTTCAAGGGCAGCCTGATCTATAGCAAGATCCTATCTCAAAATGCTTTGTCTTATTCTTACCATTAAGTACCCAATCTCTTTCTGGTTGACTCTTGTCTCCATGGATACACATAGCTGGCCAACTATCAGAAGAAAATTACATATTAGAAATCTTTACAAAAGTCTTAGTACTCAATTTTGATCAAGTTCTTTAAGCTACATAATAGTTATACATACACATCAGGCTAAAATACCATACATACATACATGTTCTAAACCATTGCTACAACCCTTTAATACAGTTCCTGTGGTGACCCCCCAGCATAAAATTATTTCATTGATACTCCATTAACTAACTTTGCTACTGTTATGAATCATAATGTAAATATCTGGTATGAAGGATATCTTATATGCAACCACTGTGTGAAAGGGTTGTCTGACACTTCCCCTGGCCCACACACATAAAGATCATGACCTATAGGTTGAGAAACACTTGACATAAAGCTACCTATGTGCTGTACTCACCCATCTCTGCGCATCCTTCGAGTGAGGTCATCACAGCGTCTCTTTGTCTCCACAAATATTATAGTCTTATTTTCTTTTTCTGCCATGATTTCCTCCATCAGTTGGATCAATCTGAAAAGACCAAACAATGCAGCCTCACACAGTAAAAGTCCTTCCTGTACATCAAACACAGATGCTATTAACTCCCAAAGTTTAGATTGTGGTGGAACATGCCTATAATACCAGTATCACTTGGGAGGCTGAAGCAGAATGGAGAATTCAAGAGGGAACCTCAGCTACATAACAAGAACCTTCTCTTCCAAAAGAAGATCTCAAATCTAACTTTGTTTTTCAAGGGGTCATAGTGTAGCCCTAGCTGTCCTGGAACTCACTCTGTAGATCAGGCTGGCCTCTGGGATTAATTAAAGGTCTGCACCACCACACCCAGCCTGGTCACAGATACTTTAATCTACATCTAGTATTTTTTAAGAAAAAAATAATTCAGTAACTGAAGGGATTAATGTTTTTGCTGCTCTTACAGAGGGGACGGACACTGGCTGTGGACATGCACTATGGGTGGCTCACAACCATCTATAATTCTAGCCCCAGGGGATCCCAATTCTTTTCTTGCCTTTATGAGCATGGCGCAGGAACACAAACAAAAACTGTGGTTACAATATTTGACCAGTATGCATGATGCCCTGGGTTGAATCCCCAACAACACATAAAGTGTGGTGGCATATGCCAGCCAGCACATGGGAGGCAGCTCTAAGCCATCTTGTCACACCTCGAGCTCCAGGACTGCCAAAGATACATACACGTTTCACACACATAAATAAAATCAAATTCCAACTAATCCACACTAGATTCAAGCAAATCTGATTTGATACTATTCCTATCTCAAAAATCAGACAAGGAGGCAATGAGAAGTAAACCTTAAACCTGCCTTAAAACTATACAGCTGGCATTTAAAAAGCCTGGATTCAACTCCAAGGATCCAAGATCATTGCGCATTTAACTACAATGCGCCAATGAATGACACACAAAGGATGTGTTCAACCTAAAAAAACCCTGGCATTTTAGCTCTGGTATAGTACAGCTTGTAATTCTAGCAATTTAGAGGCTGAGAAGGAGGACCATGAGTTTGAGGGCAACCTTAGGATATCTAGTGCAGCCCTGTCTCAAAAATAATTCAAACTGCCAGACGTTAGTGGCACATGCCTTTAGTCCTACCACTCAGGAGGCAGACGCAGGCGAATCCCTGTGAGCTTGAGGCCAGCCTGGTTTACAAAACTACACAGAGAAACCCTGTCTCGAAAAACCATTAAAAAAACAAACAAACAAGATAATGAAGTATTCTTTCATACTTGTGATCTTTTTCACTTTCCATACAGACATCCACAATCTGCAAGATGTTGTGGTTGGCACTCAACTCCAGATTGCCCACATTGATCTGGGTGTAATCACGCAGGAAGTCCTCTGCAAGCTGCCTTACTTCCTTTGGCCAGGTTGCACTCCACATCAGTGTCTGCCGGTCAGGCTATCAGGAAATGAAGGTTTTCCTTTATATTAAGGAACTATATGACAGGCAAAAAGGTAAAAATATTAATGAAGTATCAGCTTTACGAACCCTGATTTGGTCAACAATTTTACGGATCTGGGGCTCAAAGCCCATATCAAGCATTCGGTCAGCTTCATCCAACACAAGGTAAGTACACCTGCGAAGGTTTGTCTTTCCTGACTCCAGAAAATCTATTAGGCGCCCAGGAGTGGCTATGCAAATCTCAACACCTGGAAAAAAAAATTAAAGATATAGCCCATGAAGAACCCTTTCTTATAAACTATCCAAACCTCAGTAAACAGAAACTAAGACCCAACAGCCCTGGTAGCTGCATCCACTGTCACAGCAGCTGTTAAACCTACAGTATCTGAAGAGCATGACGTAAGGAGACTTCACAAGAGTAGGTTAAGGATCTCCAGCCACCAGCTGCTCTCCACAAAGTAGCTAACAGAACTGCATCCCAAGAATTTCTACACTACTGAAAATACTGAATTTCCTTACAAGAACCCATTTTGCTCAATTTTATTTACAAGAATTGGCAAAGAATAAAAACAATTTTTTTTTTTTTTTTTTTTTTACCTCTCTCCAAGTCTCGAATCTGGGGACCTTTAGGAGCACCTCCATAAATGCATGTACTCTTCAACCTAGAACACTTTCCATAATCATCAGCCACCTGCTGCACCTGCTGAGCAAGTTCTCTAGTAGGAGCCAGCACTAAACACTGAAACAAAGTGGGGGGGAAGCAAATAAACTTGAGACAACCACTCCAAGTTTAACAAAAAACAAACAAAAAAACCCAAAAAAACAAAAACCCCAATAACCCTAAGAACCAAAAGGTAGTCTAATTCCCCCTTATTGTCCAATAAAGAGGATCTTATATACTCTCTAGCCTTTAGCTATGTAGCTGAGGAAGACCTTGAAGTTCCTTCTGACCCTCCTGTTTCTACCTAACTAGTACAGAATTAAAGACATGCACTATCACACTTAGTTTTGTATTACCTACTTTTAACCTTACAAGATGAACAATCAGCATAAAACATATCCATGTGTCGCTGGGCGGTGGTGGCCTACGCCTTTAATCCCAGCACTCGGGAGGCAGAGGCAGGTGGATCTCTGCTGTCAGATTGAGACCAGCCTGGTTTACAAAGCAAATTCAGAGACATTCAGGGCTGTTACAGAGAAACACTGTGTGTGTGGGGCGACGGCTCAGGAATGACACAAGACAATTCATGCAACAAAATTATAAATACCAGCAGGGAATACAGATAAAAGTTAAGCTTGGAGAGATGCCTCAATAGTTAAGAACATTGGCTGCTCTCTACTGTCTGTGACTCCAGTTCTGGAGGATCTTACACTCTCACTCACAGACATACATGCAGGCAAAACACAATGCACATAAAATTAAACGAAGGAAAAAAAAAAAAAAAAGGCCAGGCGGTGGTGGTGGCACATGCCTTTACTCCACTGAGTTCAAGGCTAGCCTGGTCTACAGAGTTCCAGGACTGGCTCTAAAGCTAGACAGTGAAACACTGTCTTGAACCCGCCCCCCCAAAGGCTGGAGACATGGCTCATGGGTTAAGAGCACACTGGCAAGTAAGGATGCTTGCATCAGACAGGGACATGGTGGTATGCACCTATAATCCCAGCACAGAAGGGCAGAGAAAGGATGATCTCTGAGCCTATTCTACATAAAAAAAAAAAAAAAAGAAGCTTGCCCAAGTTTAAAACTTGAACTGAGACCCACATGATGGGAAGACTTGACCCTAACAAGTTGACCCCCTGACTTGCACAGAATATGGTGGCATGTACCTGCTCCCTACAGAAAAATAACCAAAACTAATAAAAATGAGCAACCCAGCATTGTGTTTGCAGCTGTGGATATAGGCCAGTGGTTAAATACTTACCTATACCATGCATCAGGCCCTAAGTTCAACCCCCAGTACAAAAAACAAACCCTAAAACAAAGGCTTGTACTTGAATTGTTGCAAAGATTGGTTCAAAGGCTAGGTACAAGGAAGCAGAGTTTCTTAGCACACACAAGGGCACAAGTTAACTACCCAGAATCACAAACAGGAAAGACGAAGAATGCCTCAAATTCACACTGTCATTTCATGGCTGTGTAACTTTGGGTAAGTTATTTAATTCCAAGTAAGATGGCCAGTACCAAGCAGGGCAGTGGTGGTACATGCCCAATTTAATCCCTGCACTTGGGAGGCAGAGGCAGAGTTTGAGACCCAGCCTGGTCTACAAAAGCGAGTTCCAGGAAACCCTGCCTCAAAAAGCAAAAAACAAAACAACAACAACAAAAAAAGGATGGGCTAGAGCCACTTCTACATACGGAGAAAAGGGTTAAGAATTAAATTGGGGCAGGGGCTGGAGAGATGATTCAGTGGTTAAGAGCACTGGCCCTATATCCAGAGTACTTAGGTTCAATTCCTAACAACCACACTGTATATAACAACTGTCTGTAACTCCACTTCCAGGGGATTAAATGCCCTCTTCTGGTCTCCATGGCACCAAACACTCCCCAACCCCCGGGGAAAACACCCATAAACGTTTTTTTTTTTTGTTTTTTGAAGACAGGTTTTCTCTGCGCAGCTTTGGAGTCTATCCTGGCACTTGCTCTGGAGACCAGGCTGGCTTTGAACTCACAGAGATCTGCCTGCCTCTGCCTCCCAAGTGCTGGGATTAAAGGCATGCACCACCAACACCCGGCTCCATAATTTTTTTTTTAAAAAAGTAATTAAATTGGGTTTTAGGCACAGTGCCTAAAACAACTTATCATTCAATGTAGTTATTTTTAAAAATTATAAATTGTAGCACACTTACAATTGGACCATCTCCTCTTTCCAAGTATGGCTGGTGGTTTATATGAACAATCGCAGGCAGCAAATACTGAGGAGGAACAAGAATCAAAAATGTCATAAAAACCCAAGCCATTATCGTAACGATTCTAATTTAAATCAGTAATTAACAATGCCCTAATAGAAAGTGAGAAAACTAGAACATATTACCACATTCAAGTACAATGTAAACATACAGCTAAAATACTGAACATATAGTATTTTATTTTTTGGCCTTCTTGGGACAGTGTCTAACTATGTAGCTCTGGCTACCCTGGAACTTCACTGCATAGATCAAACTGGCTTCCAACTCAAAGGTCCATCTGCCTGTCTCTGCCTCCCAAGTACAGTCATTAAAGGTGTGCCCCACCATGCCCAGCTTTCACACAGTATTTTAACTGTGAGTCTAAGAACTGAGAAAATGTGAGCTGGGTATGATAGCTTACAACTTTAATCCCAGCCCTTGGGAGGCAGTAGGGACAGGCAGTTCTCTGGTTGGAGCTACCCGGTGAAACCCTATGGGGGGATGGGGGCGGGCAACATGGGACCAGAGAAAATGTAAGAAAACTAGGCTAATAAAGTAAGTTACTACAATGTCAAAGACTTGGTACCTACCGCCAATGTCTTCCCAGAACCAGTCTGTGCAATGCCAACCATATCCCGGCCACTAAGAGCCAAAGGAAATCCCTGGCACTGAATGGGAGTTGGTTCTGTAAAATGCTGATCCATCAGCACATCCATCACATACTCTGAAAAAAAGTGAATGCATTATTACTTTTACTAGCAAAACTAAGGACACTCATGAAGTCTTAAAAGTAGCAGTTAAGACTAGCAGTGGTGACACATACCTTTGGTCTTGAAATCCAAAAAAGTGGCAGTTACTTAATTTAAGACTTACTTGAATTTATCAAAAACTCAATGTCTTGTCAGTTCACTACTACCTTTGAGAACTACCATCCTAATTTAGCTAACAGCACAGGCCCAAGAGTCACTTACTGTTCCCAAAGTTCATACTATATCATAGAAGCAGTATTTGGCTGCTGTGTAAAACACCAAGGGCAAAATACCAGTGTACGTATTGGCATTAAAAGAAATGCAGAAACTGGGTAGTGGTGAAGCACACCAGCATTTGGGAGGCAGAGACAGGTGATCTCTTTTGAGTTCAAAGCCAGAGCTGTTACACAGAGAAACCCTGTCTCAAAAACAAAACAAAACAAGCCCAAAGCTGAGATGGCTCAGCTGTCAATAGTTCTTGCAGAATGAGTTTGTGAAGATCGGAGGAGAGCTTGGTGGAGCGGGCTTTCTCCTTTCTTGTTTATATGGGTTCCAAAGTCAGGACTTTCACCAATTGAGCCATTCTCATTCACACACACCCCACCCCCACCCCATTGGTTTCTCTGTGTAGCCCTGGATGTCCTGGAACTCACTCTGTAGACCAGGCTGGCCTCAAACTCAGGAGATCTGCCTGCTAAGTGCTAGAATTAAAGGTGTGAGCAATCACCGTCTGTCTACTACTATCTTTCCTTTATAAAAGGTTTCTTTTTGTGTTTCAACAAAATCCCAAGCCTTTCAAAACCTTCAAGCAACCTACCACTTAATGTAGGATTAAAGAACACTTACGTGGGAAATTAGCATGATGGAAGGCAAAGACAGGTTTTGGACAAACATCTCCCCCTCTCACTGTAATCTCTTTCTTTCGCCGCAGCTCATCAACTTCATACTATTGGGGGGGGGGAAGAAAGACAATAAAAGCTCTTTTCAATTTAAAAGCTTTATTATCACACAATGATAAATATGAATACTTTTTACACAAGTTCAAGTTTGTGATGCACATGAGCAAAAGGCTCCATTTTCCATAGGAGAAAAACCTCTCAAGAGTAATTCCTAGCCAGGATAGGTAGTACTGTGTAATCCCAGTACAGCAGCAGAAGGATCAGCTCAAGTTCAAAGCTAACCATATCTACAAAACAATTCCAGACCAGTCAGGGTTACTTAGTGAGACAGTTTACTACAAACAGCTAACTTCTACTTAAAACTAGGAAGAGAATATGTGGAACTTGGGTCCAAATGCTCTTTCCATCATATAATTTTTCTGGACTAGCAATGATTTTCTGGGTAGAATACACTATCAGGTGTTAAAAGCACAAAGTTAATTTATTTTAAAAACTCATTTTATGAGGGTGTAGCTCAATGGTAGAGTTTAAGCTTTACAAGCACGTGGTGCTAGGTTTGAGCTCAGCACCGCTAAAAGAAAATTAGCTCAATGATTGATAACTTGCCTTTATGAACAAAGGTCAGGGTTTGACTGAAGAATATCACAAACCAAGTATGCCTACCCGTGCCTGAAAGTAACCCTGGCATTCATAAGCTGAAGTAGCAGGATAGCAAGTTAAAGGCCAGCCTAGAACTACATGGTGAGACCATACCACAAATAGAATAGTTTTAGCACATAAGAATCAAAACAAAATCCAAAGGTAAGCCAGCCACAGTGGTGTTTTTTAATCCCAGCATTCAGATGCAGGTGGATCTGAGTCTGGGGCCAGCTTGGCTACATAGTAGGTTCCAGGCCAGAGCTACAAATCAAGATCCTGTCTCAAAAAAAAAAAAAAAAAAGAAAAGAAAAAGAAAACAAAACAACAACAAAAAACATAAACAAAAAACTTTAAAATACATTAAAATGAGCCGAGTGGTGGTGGCAACCAACTACCTTTCTTCCCATGGCTTGGGAGGCAGAGGCAGGAGACCTACAGAGTGAGTTGTTCCATCCAGGATAACAGTGACTATACAGAGAAACCATGTCTCAAAGAAGCAACAAGATAACAAACAAAAAACACAACACTGCCAGGCAGTGGTGGTGCACACCTTTAATCTCAGCACTTGGGGGGGGAAGAGGCAGGAAGATCTCATTAAGTACAAGGCCAGCCTGGTCTACAAAGTGAGTTCCAGGACAGCTAGGGCTGTTACACAGAGGAGCCCCCCCCAATACAATACATGACAAAAAACAAACAAAAAACAAAAACACCACACCCCAAAGAGAAAACAAAAGACCTACAACATATTAAAAAGATCTGACCTAATCTAAAATAAAATACACAAGCTGCTTTACACACCCCTACTCACCACCCCCCCTTCTTACCGGAGTCAATCTTGCTACTTCTGGATGTTCCACATAAAAATTCTTCTCAAACTTGGGGAGTTCACTCAAATCCCACTTCTTTTTACGTAACCGCTCCCCGGGATTACCAAACTTTTTCGGGGGAAGACCACTGCCACCTCTTGCTCCAAACCTAGAGACACCAGAAAATGCTGATTCATTAGTACCCATATCTCATGTGACAGAGAAAAGGCATGTGAAGTGATGGTTTCTGGAAAGCCCTTTTGAAAGACCATTCATCTTACTATAATCTCAATGTCCAGCATAGATTCTGGACCTGACAAGGCTTGAATTCTAAGTCTGAAACTTACTATGTATATGTACTCTGGGAACAAACTTTACTTCTCTGAACCTTAGTTTTCTATGCAGAGGACAGCACTGCCACTGACTTATCCATTTAGCAAAATCACTGGCTACCAACCCCAGTGTAGTTTTTTAAGTGGTACTAGAGATTCTGCAATAGAATAAAACCAAGTTTGTGGACTTAGCCAACTTCCCCCACTTGCTGTGGCAAGCACTTCTCAATGATCTGCAAACTACCAGGACATAAGGAACTAGCGTTCACCTTTAGTGTATTCAAAAGAACCAGAACAAAGAGTTGTAATCCTTTCCTCTCTAGCCTTCATCTTTCTTTTCTTTTTTGAGATAGGGTTTTCCTGTGTAGCTTTGTAGAAGAGGCTGGCCTCGAACTCAAGAGATCAACCTGTCTCTGCCTCCCGAGTGCTGGGATCAAAGGCGTGCGCCACCACTGCCTGGCCTTATGTCTTTTTTTTTTTTTTAATACCCTTTACAATAAACAGGTAAGTCAAACAAGAATACAGATACAGCCACTTGCATGAAAATAGAAACTAATTGTTCCTAGAATAATCCAAATATCACCCTTATCTGCCTTACTATGTAAAAGTAGAGGGCTTTATTTTGATGATATTCAAATAGGACATTTTAAAATCTCATTTCCTTATTCCCTGTCAAACACTACAGACTCAGAAAATTCAGTGATAGCTACTTTGAAGAATTTCAATTTCGAGACCAGCCAGTTTGGGGAGAGGTGGGGCAAAATCTACAATCTAAAACCCTCTTCTGTCACTGTCTGGTGTAGTAGTAGGTCTACACTTGTGATCCTACAACTTGGACACTGAAACGAGGCACATTCTAGGCCAAATGGGGCAGATTAAGACACACATTGGATATTTCATTCAGTAGGCAGAACTGAAGTAACTTATTCATATCACTGCTGAACCAACACAACAGAAAAACATATAGAGCCAAGTACCCCCATCAGCCCCCTTTCCAAAGGCCCTGACTTTCAGTTCAATCAGTGAAAGAGCTTCTGAGTTGGCCATTCCACTCCACTTGCAAAATTCTCAGCACAATTTTCAAACACCCAAGAAATAGAAAGCCAGGTTTTTTCAGTCTTGCAAAAATGGCCCAAACCCAATTTTAAGAGTTTTTTTTTAGCCTAACTCAATTGAGTTTAATGTGGCACCTATTCTTGCTGTAATCTAGTACTGCTTCAATCTTTCTTTCTTTCTTTTTTTTCTAGACAGGGTTTCTCTGTGTAGCCCTGGCTGTCCTGGAACTCACTCTGTAGACCACGCTGGCCTCAAACTCACAGAGATCTGCCTGCCTCTGCCTCCCAACTGGTGGTAATCAAAGGTACACGGCATCTCAGGCTGGCTAACGCTGCTTGAATCTTGATCAAGAAAAAGATTAAGCTTCTAAAATTAAGATACCTTTACAAACCTAACTAAATTTTCTTTCCTTCTACAAGCAACCCCACACCTAGTACTTTGGAAACCATTCCCTTACTTTGACACAAAACCCACCGTAGCCCAGGCAGGCCTGGGTAACCAAGCTCCTGCTTTGATCTCTAGTGATGGGACCACTGGCCTGGACCACCTCAAGAGGTTCTCTTGGTTTCAATAGCTTTGTTACTTAAGACTTTTTCTTTCTCCCTTTGAGGCAGGGTCTCACTATGTAGCTGTGGCTGTCCTGGAACTCATAATGTAGAACTCACAAGAGATCTACCCATCTCTACCTCCTCAGTGCTGGGATTAGAGGTGAGCACAACCTCAAACAGCCAAGACTTTATTGCATCCAAATATAAAGCACCCGAAGTTTATCTAGATGTGAATTGTTTCTTTTATCTAGGAGTCAGGAACAATGTTGGCATACAGCTTTTAGGCGTACTGATTCCTGGGCAAAATTCAAGAATTTTTCTAGCAACAAAACACTAAGCTTCCTGATTGTGTATGTGTGTGTATATACATACATACATATATATGTATATATATTTTTTCATCCCCTAGCTTAGGCCTTAAGGTTAATTCTGCAGTAGAATTGGATCCTTAAGAGGCAATAAATAAAAATGTCGCCTGCACTTCTGGATCTCTCAACTCCAATGTGTTTCCAATGAACCAAAATATGACCGAAGAGGAGTTAAGACCTCATTTACAATCAGAAAAGGCCTTTTCGACTGCAGTCCCGCTAAAGGGGATGCCTGGAGACATAACGGAAAGGAAACCATCCGGGTTCTTTCCGGACAGACACTGCGGCGTGCAGGGACCAGATGAGCTGCAAGGCCAAGCGAGGCGACGCGACTGGCCTGCCACCTCCGAGCCACGACGGCAGTGCGCAGAGGGGCCCGCCCGGGCCCGAGGCCCGCGCACCGCCGCCATTGTACGTCGCGAGCCGCGGGCTACCCCGCCCCCCGCCTGCACCTCCCCCTTACCCTCCACGGTCTCGGTCCCGGTCCCGGTCCCCAAAGCCGCCTCCGCGCATGGTCCCAAACGGGTAAAGATCTGGGAGCGGGGCACGGATGGCCGAGCTGGGGAGGGCCTGCGGCTCCGGTCTAGTGACGACCGATGGTGGCGGCGCCTCCGCTGTTGGGGCGGCGGCAGGCGCGGCGCTCTCTCGCTCCGACGCGCTGTCTCCCGTCGCAGACGCCACCGTCGCCGCCTCTCTCGTCGGAGACGGTAGCAAAACACAGAGAATCGGGGTTGTTAGTGCAGTGGGGAGATTTGGTCACGCTCAAACCGGGCGGTGCCACGGTTTAGGCGTCTCCTTTCCTTCCCAGCGACTGCACAAAATGGCGGCGGCGCTGAGACTGCTCCAACTTAACGCTACGCACGGCCGAGACGCTACGTAAACAGCGTCTGGAGGAGCCCGAGGGCTCGGCTCGGTGCTATAGACATTCTAGGAAGCGTTTTACGTCCGTGACGGAGATGGGTGCCCTTGGCGGTCCACCTAAATAAGGCAGTGTACGTAACTGGCGTACCGTTCTCGCGCCGCCAACTCTAGAACGTGGGCTGGGGGTGGGGCGCGCCTCCGGCGCAACGTAACATTGTTTGCGTGGTTGGCCGGCCCACTATTACGATGATGCGCAGTCTTCGTAGCGCATTCTGTTTAGAGAATAGACTTTTCCCAGCATTCCGAGCTCAAACGGCACTTGAGGCTGGCCTTGTGCAGACACAATAGCTGCCCTCCATGTTGTCTGGTCAGGTTTCGGGGGTCTGTGGTATAGAATCTGAGTGGCCTTGGCCCCTCGCCTCGCCGCCCCGGGTTCGCCAAGCTAGGAGCGCATGCCAGCGCCATTTTCTTCCGTTGCTTTTCGCCTAGCTGGCGCCGCAGCCATGTTGGATGCGTCGCGCCGCTCTCTTTACCCGGCCACAGCTCAACAGGGTTAAAAGACGCCCTGTGTTTCCCTCAGTAACGTGCGTTTCCCGAACAGACTTTTGTCACCGTTCCTGCTGGGCGCAGTTGGCGCGCTCACACAGAGGCCACCCTTCCTGAGGTGGGCGCCGATGGCCTCGCTCGGTTCCGCGACTGCAGAAACCCAGTCGGGGGAAGGCAGGCCAGGCTAGGCTGCGGGCGCCTCCCAACTCCCAGATTACTTTCTTTTGCTTGCCATCCCTGCGCACTGCCAAGCCACACAAGCTTGGCCATATTTGATTTACAGAATTGTGAATCTGCTGCGTCCTTGATACCTCTGGTCTTATTTCTACAGATGCGGAGAAGGGAGTCTGTCAGCTTGGAGGCTGTGTTGTCGTCTCCTGTTCTGAGTGTTGCCCAGATTATTGGAAAGCCAGGAAAGTAAAGGAGCCTCATTTGTCACTTCAGCCATAGATTGAGAAAGTCGTGGAGAGCCAGGCTTTGTGCTAGTTGCCTGAATGCTTGGGGAACCAACATATTCCTTGGCTCAGAATTTGTAGAGAGGGAGTCAGATGACCAATGTTTGTTAGACAGTTGCTAACTTGGAAAAAGAAAATGGAGGGATGGGGGGGTGGAGGCCATAGAAAAGTGGGCAAGTGCTTGTGTTGTGCCAGGTTTGCAGAGCCCAGAGACTAACCCAAGGAGTCAACATTCTGATGCAAAAGCAAAAGGTTTCTTTTTATTTCAAGCTGGCCACCTAGGATCTCACTGCATGGGGGGTGGGGGGGTGCAAATGAGATCCCAACAAGCCAAAAAGAGAAGCTTTTAAAGGGGCAGACCATAAGGTTGAAGGCCACAAATTACAGTTTCCATGGTTACTTAAGGTCATGCAAAGTACAGTTAGTCAGTAACTATACATTTTAAGGGAGGTACATTTGAGTGAAATAAGACAGGGCATGGGCCTGCAGGGTTACAGGGTCACAGAGTCACAGGGTCGGTCTGTATGACCAGCAATTAGCAAAGGAATGCTGACAGGAGTGGTAGACAGTTACCTCTCCTTCTCTGAGAGCAGGGGATCAGGGGCCAGCCATGACACTCCTGATTTAAGGAGTTAAATTTTCCTTTATCATTAGCCGTTCCCTTTTCAGGGCCTAAGTTTTTAAACTTTTATTAATTTGAATTTTTGGTCCCTCACTTGCTAATCATGACTGAAGCCCTGGATTCATAGCATAGCACCCTCAACAAATAGACAACCTAGGCAGTGGTGGTGCACACCTTTAGTCCCAGCACTCAGGAGGCAGAGGCAGGCAGATCTCTGTGAGTTGGAGACCAGCCTGGTCTATAGAGAGAGTTTCCAGTACAGCCTCCAAAGCCACAGAGAAACCCTGTCTCGAAAAACAGAACAAAACAAAACAAAACAGAAAAGCTCAGTTGGACTGGGCTGGAGAGATGGCTCAGAGGTTAGGAGCACTGACTGCTTTAGAGTTTATGAGTTCAATTCCCAACAACCACGTGGTGGCTCACAACCATCTGCAATGAGATCTAGTGCCCTCTTCTGTCATGCAGGCATACATGCAGACAAGACACTGCATACATAATAAATCTTTTTTAAAGAATGGCTCAGTAGGCAGGGCAGTGTTGATGCAAGCCTTTAATCTCAGCACTTGGGAGGCAGAGGTAGGCAGATCTCTGAGTTTGGGGCCAGCCTGGTCTATAGAGCAAGTTCCACGACATCCAGAGATACACAGAGAAACCCTGTCTTGGAAAAAATTAAATAATTTTTTAAAAGCTAGTTCAACAAATGCATATATATATACACATATACATATGTGTATATATTTTAATTTTAAAATATACTGTGTGTGGAGCCAGGTGTGGTGGTACATGCCTTTAATCCCACTACTCTGCCAGAGAAAGGTGGATTTCTGAGTTCAAAGCTAGGCTGGTTTGCATAGTTAGTTTCAGAGCTACACAGAGAAACTCTGTCTGGAAAAACAAAACAAAAAAGTAATAATAAAAAAACTTTTAAATTACTGTATTGTGCATTTTTGCACATGAAAGCAGTGCCTGCAAAGGCCAGAAGAGGGCACCAGATCCCCTGGAGCTGGAGTTACAGAGTTGAGAGTTGCCTGAGTGGATGCTGGGAACTGAACTCTGGTCTTCTGGAAGAATGATACCCACTTTAGACCAATGAGACATCTGTCCCGTGCCAACATTTTGCAAACATAGAATTCCACTAGAAAAAGAAGTCAGAGACCAAGGAATCTCATTTAGAGACAAATCAAATTCTTGGAATTAGTGAAAATATATCTAGCTCAATCTACCTCCCCACCCATGCCTTGAAAATCTAGGAAATAACAGTTGTGTGCTCACACTGTTCAAGGCATATGCTAAGAGTTTTCACTATTTTAGTCCCTCTGTTAATTCAATAAAACAATAGAGATCTCTTACAGGGGTGCTGGGAAAGCCAGAGGAATATCATTCAGGGTAGTGTCTCATGTACAATATTCAACAACTTTTAGCTGCTACTGTAAGACCCCTGGGCGGAGTCAAAAGCTTGATGAAAACAGCAAGAGGTTTTATTGCAGTTGTTTAACCAGCTAACCCCATCTTAGCTCAGGCCTTTCCGGCAGATGGCTAGGAAAGACAGCTCGAAGCATCTGCATAGAGAGATCTTATAGGGCAGCGTAAGGGGAGTGTCTAGGGGTACGCACAGGCTCAGGATTGGTGTGCCTCCAGGCTTGGAGGGCTTGCTCTGTGTTGATTGGTCAACTGGTTGTTATGGCACAGGGCGGTTGCTATGCTCTGCGCATCATTGCTGTGCCCTTGTCTGTAAAGCACACCCAGAGCTGAAAAGCATAGCACTACCAGCTAACTTCTGATTGGTTCCTTGCCACAAGGCAGGCATCTGACCTCCTAGTGACCAAGGAAAGGTCAGGCAAGCACGTGCTAGGCTGTTACGGCTGCTGAAATGGGGAGCTGATCCCTTCACTACCATCTGTCCACTTTATGTTTGAGAAGGTCCAGAAGGTTGTACATAGCTGGTCTAGAATCACACAGTTAGTACATTGAATTGTAAGGTGCTGTCTTAGTTAGGATTTCTATTGCTACAATGAAACACCAAGGCTAAAAAGCAAGTTGGGTAGGAGTGTTTATTCATCTTATACTTCCTCATTGCTGTTCATCACTAAAGGAAGTAAGGGCAGGAACTCAAAAAGGGCAGGGACTTGGAGGCAGGAGCTGATGCAGAGACCTAGGAGGAGTGCTGCTTACCTGTCAGGGCCCAAAAAATATCGATTATAAAGATTTGGGATGGAAACCTCAGCTCTATTTCCAGAAGCCTGAGTCTCCCATTGTCTTTCAGATGTTCAGCTAATTACCTGATGGCTTGTCCTCAGTGGAGAATGTCTCCTAGTTTGCATAACAGACCTAGGCCCTGAGTGTGCCCATACCTGTTCTGGGAGTTTTGTTTACATGCCTAGGGACTGTTTAGGTGTGTCCCTAGGGTTAAAAGAATTTTTTGATATCAGCTTTATACATGATAGTAGATGCCTTCTTCAGTCATTCCCACTGTTGGAAAGCTATTTAAGAGGATGCTTGAATAAACTGGAGATTCCAGTTTCCAGCATGGACTGAGAGCCCTCCTGAGATGACAAGATGTGTCTGTGTCTCGTCCTTAACGCCTTGGGGTAGCTAGGAGTTTCCCCAGATCCACACACCCCTACTCAGGGATGGACCCAAGGCTGTTCAGATGGCTCCGATTACAGCCCCAGAGATATCAGTCCAGAACAGATGGCTTCTATAGTGTGGGACTGATACAAGCCGACCCTGGCACTTGCTTAACCTTTTTTTTTTTTTTTTTTTTTTTTTGTTTTTTGGTTTTTCGAGCAAGGGTTTCTTTGGGGCTTTGGGGGCTGTCCTGGAACTAGCTCTTGTAGACCAGGCTGGGCTCGGACTCACAGAGATCTGCCTGCCTCTGCCTCCCGAGGGCTGGGACTAAAGGCGTGCGCCACCAATGTCCGGCTTGTTTAACCTTTCTTATAGAACCCAGGACTACCAACCTAGGGACAGCACCACCCCAATGATCTGGGCCCTCCCCCATTGATCACTAAATGATGCATTACAGCTGGATCTCATAGAAGCATTTTCTCAACTGAGGTTCCTTCCTCTCTGATGACTCTAGCTTGTGTCATGTTGACACAAAACTAGCCAGTACAGGTGCTCAGCAGCCGCTCTGGTCTCTGCACTGTAGATGCCTGTGGCTCTCCCAAGTGATGACCCTGTCTCTAGACACTGCCCATTGTCTCCAACAGGACATGCCAATCTAGAAGCAAAGCTCA